CCCCCCTCATTTCCCCCATTGACCCCCATTTATCCCATTGCCCCCCATTTAACTCCCAGTTGTACCCACCATTTCCCTCCCATTGCCCCCCCCTGACTTCCCTCTCACCTGAAAACCCTCCAGACCATGGGCCCCTTCCCCATGGGCCCCCACCAGGCCACTGGGGGTGGACACAGGGGAGACCCCACAAGGCTTGGGGGTCACTAGATGGGGTCTGGGCCAGGTGGCACCTAAGGGAAGACCAGGTGTGAGGGGAAGAGACATAGGGGAGGGTTCGGGGTTGATTGGGAAGGATTGGGGAGGGCAATGGGGGGACATGGGGAAGATTTAGGAGGCACAAGGGGGGATTGGGGGAGCAATGGAGGGGAATTGGGGGGCATGAGGGGGACAATTGGAGCCACAGAGGGGCACAGGAGGGGAGTGGGAGGGCAATGAATGGGATTTGAGGGACACCAGGAGGGTCAGAGGTCACTCACCATCCACGGGGCGTGGGGCGGGCACAGCCAAACCCTGGAGGGCAGAGGGACAGTGAGGGGGTCAGCGAGGAGAAGGAGAGGAGGGTGTCCCAGAGGGGAATGTCACCTGGAGGAGGGGGCGTGACTCACCGAGGGTCTCGCCCCTTCCCCGCTCTGCTGCTGCCGCAGCTCCTTCAGCAGTTGCTTTACCGTCTGGGGGGGAGTTGCGCGGGGGGGGCCTGAGAGGGGGCAAGGAGGGATTTGGGGGGTTACCGGAGTGCCTGGGAGACCCTTAAAACTCCTCAGATCTCTCCTGAACCCCTGAGACCCCGCCAAACTCCCAGGACCGCTCCAGACCCCTGGGTACCCCCCAGACCTCCGGGGGTCCCCCCCCAAACTCCTGAGACACTCCCCCAAAACCCCCTACGCCACCCGAACTCCCGGCCACCCCATCGCCCCGCATTTGAGGAGTCCCGGGACTCCTCAAACCCACAGTGCCCCCGCGGCGAGGCGGGAATGCCCCTGTCGTGAAGTCACGGGGATTCCCACTGCGTCACCGCCCGCCCCCGCTGGCCCCGCCGCCGCGGGATCCCCCTCACCCCCACCGGGAGAATCCGGCGGAGGGGACACGGGAATTCCCCCGCCACCCCCATCTCCGCTTAAAGGGCGTGTGTGTGTGTGTGTGTGTGTGTGTCTGTGTGTGTCTGTGTGTCTGTGTGTGTGTCTGTGTCTGTGTGTGTGTGTGTGTCTGTGTGTGTGTGTGTGTGTGTCTGTCTGTCTGTCTGTCTGCCTGTGGCTGTGCACATGTGTCCCTCCCGGTCTCTTAAAGAGGCAGCATTCCCCTCCTCGATTTTTAAAGGGCCAGTGTTCCCTAAAAGTAGCTCTTAAAGGGCCAGTGTCCCGTAAAGGAGGGTCTTAAAGGGCCAGAGTCCCCTTCCAGGTGCCTTAAAGGGCCAGCACCCCCTCTCAGAGCTCTTAAAGGGCCCGCGCCCTCCCCGCCTTACCTCTCTGAGGCCGCATCCCGCGGGGTCCCGGAGGCAAATGGGGCCAGGGCGGGCGCGGGGACCGTTTTGGGGGGGCGAGGGGGAGGCCCCGCCCCGGAGGGAAACGCCACCAAAACGCCAGCAGTGTCACTGTTGCGACACGGGGGGGGGGGGGGGGGGGGGGGGGGGCCCGGGGGGCCCCGGGGGCCCCAATGGGGGGGGGGCCGAGGGCAACTGGGTGGGGGCGGGAGGGGGATCCCAGGAAGGTACCTAGGCTGTTCCCATGTGACGTCATCGGCACCGATTGGGGGCGACAACGCCGGAGGGTTCCCCAGGGTCCCCCTCTGCCCCCCAATCATTTTTCAGCGGGTCTCTGCGTCATTTGTGGGGACTCTGACCAATCTGGAGGGGGGGCTCTGTCCCCCCAACCCCAGCAGACCACGAGACCCACCAAGACCATGAAGACCTCCAAGACCAAATAAAGGCTGGTGCCTTTATTTGGGGGGAGGATGTCACACTCCGGGGGGAATGGAGGGGGTTTCCCCAGGACTCCGAGTTGGGGGGGGCGTTACTGCTCCCTCTGTGCCCCACTTTTGTGGGGCGTGTCTCCCCACACTCCCCAGTCTAAGGGCAACTTAATGGAGTGCAGTGGAGATTCAATGAGACAAACAGCAAGAAAAAAATAGGGAGAGTGAGCCTGATTAAAGTAGACATGGAAGGAAACTTGAAAATGCAAAAAGGAGCAAGACAGTCAAGAGAGAATTAAAAAGAGCAAGTTACAGTAGCAGTGCGTATATGTAAGCAAAATCATAAAGCCAAGAGATTAATAGAGGAAAGGAGACAGCAAACTAGATAAAGTAGATAGAAAACTCAAATCTTTGAAGCTAAGAGAGAAATGAATTAAAAAATATCAACAGCAAACTAAGATAAAGGCAGACAAACTAAAAAAAAAAAAAAAAAAAAACCAAAAAAACCCCCAAACAAAAACAAAACAAAACAAAAAAAACCCAACCAAACAAAAACCAAACCACCTTAAACCCCCACATGACAGGACATCTTCAGAAATTTTGCTTGTGAAAGTGAAAATGTAAATGTGCACCTACTGATTTGCATGTGTGTCTTCTTAGCAATCAAATGTCAGCCCAGAAAACAGATGAATGTGAAGAGTATGTGCCTCAGTCTTCAAAGGGTAATCTCTGATCTGCCTTCAAACACAGTACTTCTGAATTTGGTGGTCTTAAACACAACATGGAGTAGTACGATTGTCCAGATTTCTCATTATTGCAGTTTATTATTTGTGATCCTACTTCACTACTGAAAGAAAACTATGGGACTGAGTCCATGTTACCCTGAAAGCCCACAGGACATGTCACCAATGTTTGTGCCTCTAATTATCTAGCTGGCCATTGTGGGTCAGACAAATACGGTAGAAAATAAAAATCAATTGTGCACACAAAGTCGACATTATTGATTAATAGGAATAAAAAGGCCTTGATCTTCAGAGAATATTTCCATGATTGAATGATTAATGATTACTGTGACATTTGACCCTAAACTAAGAAAACATAATATAGTCATTAAGACTTTTGGGGGAACGTTTTGCAGTGAACCTGCTTGTTATTTGACTGCGATACCGTTTTGAATGAGGCAACGCTTCCCAGAACATGGTGTGCAGACCATTAAATGTTCGCCTTAACATTTAGCTTTTACAGATCAAGTAAACCTCCAGCCGCGGTAGTTCAGTCTCACTGAATACTCAGGGTTTTCAAACGTATCTTCTTCAGCATCCTAGCAGGAGCTGGGAGGGTGTGGGGGTGTCAGTGGACCACTTCAGCAGACTTAGATGATTTTTTACCAATAACAGAAAAATGTTTAGAAACATACTTTAAGTACTCCATAGAAGAGACATATGTTTAGAATCCTGGAAATGGCTGGCTGTAGACTGCTAGTTTGCCAAAATGATTAAGTACTTCCAGGCAAGCTGTCATTTAACTATGAAATCGGACATGACCTATTGACTGATCCTCAGCACCAAAATTAAAATATAATGATTAGCTTTTTAGAGTGCTCAGCAGAGGAAGTTTATTCACCCTTCGCAGGACATTTGAAACAGGAATACACTTTTGTAGAGCACTGACGAGAATCACCTAAAAGAACATTATAGTCCTATATACTTCTTAACTCATATTGGTCCTAGCAGTGGAGTTACACATTAATAGCAGGCTGTGTCCTTGGCTGTTGCACTGCTAATGCCGCCTCCAGAACAATTTACTCAGATGGATGGAAGATGGCAGTGGTTGTAACTTTTTATTGGACGTCGCAGATGTTTAATTTTACACATTTTTGTAAAGAAAGGTACGTTTTATTTTTAATTTTATTTTAAATTTTCTTCTCTTTAAAAAATGTCTAACTTGCCTATTTGTATACTGATTTGCAAGAGTATTTTCATGTTTAGAAGGCTGCCTTTACATGAAGTTCCCTCTATAGTCATCAGTATTGCAACCGTAAGACTCCAACTTCTTTCTGATTTCTTAACACTTATTTTACAGGGTGAAAATTAATCCCATTTGAACAGGAAACGCTATGTTAAACCACCTTTTTCCTAAAAAATACTGAAAAAAAGATACTATTCTCCTTTTCAGTATAACTGAAATGTATTGAATTGTGCTGTACACACAATGAAAAGGTAAATCTACAGATGTACTGCTTATCCCCAGACATAATGCTGGTAAAGAATTTTTGTATAAATCATTTCTTTTTCAAAGAATTGTAGCCAAAAATAGTAACTCTTGACACTTAGGCCCTTATTCACTATTTTAAATGCAGGCATCATAGATCAGAGGAAACAAGACCGATTATGGTAATTCTATTTATTTATCATAAACATCCACAAACAAAGAGCAAATGTCTGTCTGCACAAAATTATATGCTTAAATATATTTTTTGAATTAATAAAGAAATTTTAGTGAGATGCTTTATTCCCTCTGGAGTTCCTTTGTATAACCAATTTCCACTGTGAAACATTGGAACGTTACCATTGGACATTACCATAACATCAGCTGTGATGTGGCACTTGGAACATCTGAAAAAGGTGTTCCAAGGACACTTAGGATACTTCATAAGTGTCCTAAGTATAACATACTGCTCTTACATTTTTATCATATGATGGTTCAAATGGATCACTAATGCTCTTAAAATCTTGCTACAAGTCGAGGGACCTCAGTTTCCACTGGTCTGATGCAGTCTGAGGGTGCTTAATACCTCATAGGGATATGCTTATCAGGGTATCTTTTAAAGATAAAGTAGACACAGGCAGATGATGCAGTTCTCTATCTTGTAGATGAGAGAAAATAATACCCAGATTATCAGTGAGCAGTTGTTCATGTTGCTATGGTTACCATGTAAGCTATGATAGTTTTGCCCAGTGTTGCTTTTTTTTGTAATGCATTAAGGAAGGAATGCAGATTTTATAAAGTTTTATACTTTTTTTCTCTCATACATTTTAGTGTTAAGATGGCAGAATAACCATGGGAGACTGGAATTTCCTCGGAGGCATTTTAGAGGAGGTCCACATCCATTCTACTATTATTGGAAAGATTTGGCTAACGATCCTCTTCATATTTCGAATGCTTGTCCTTGGAGTGGCAACCGAGGATGTTTGGAACGATGAGCAGTCAGAATTTATATGCAATACCGAGCAACCTGGTTGCAGAAATGTGTGCTATGATGAGGCCTTTCCCATCTCTCTCATAAGATACTGGGTCTTGCAAGTCATATTTGTGTCTTCCCCTTCCTTGGTGTATATGGGTCATGCCTTATACAGACTAAGAGTCTTGGAAAAAGAGAGGCAAAAAAAGAAAGCTCAGGTAAAGGTGGAACTTGAAAGCACCAAATTAGAAATGACTGAAGATCGTAAAAGGCTGGAGAGAGAACTCCGGCAGTTGGATCAAAGAAAGCTAAATAAAGCACCCCTGAGAGGCTCTTTGCTCTGCACTTACGTGATACATATTTTCACACGGTCTGCAGTGGAAGTCGGTTTTATGATTGGGCAGTATCTTCTTTATGGCTTTCATCTAGATCCCCTTTATAAATGTCAGAGAGATCCGTGTCCAAACACAGTTGACTGCTTTGTATCTAGACCAACAGAAAAGACAGTCTTTATATTATTCATGCAATCAATAGCGACTGTATCATTGCTTTTAAATATCCTGGAAATTATCCACTTAGGATTCCGAAAAATTAAAATGGGACTCTGTGAGCAGAATAAAAACAAGGACGACTCTGACAATTTCCACATAAACATGTCTAAGAAATACTCTGTGATACCGCAATCTTCTTTCGGAATACCCACCACCCCTCAGAAAACTCTTCCTTGTGCACTTAGCAGTTATACCTTTTTAACGGAAAAGCAAACCGACACTACTGTCTACCCGGTTCTAATTTCTCCTTCTCTGTTTCAGTCTGTGCAAAATAATCATACAGAAAGCAGCAGTAATTACACCCATTGCAATCAGGAGAATAAATTGCCAAAGAAGAGGCCAACTACAAATGCCTTAGACAATCAGACTCAAAATACCAGCATGAATAATAACGAGGGTTTTCTTGACGAGCTTGGGACTGAAGCGCATGATGCACAAAAAGAGGCCAAAAAGAAACATTTCCTTGTTGTTACTCAGAATGCAGATATGGCTTCAAACATGTGTTTGAGAAGCTTTACTGACATACCATCTCAAACTTCACTGCAACCCAATACAACTTTTCCTTGTACCAGTTATAGGCAACAGCACAGAATTGGTTCATCTTGTAACTGCTCAGCAACGGTTGAGAGCGCAGGAGCTTTGACAAATTCTCTTCCAAAAAACAGCAACAGAAGACAAAGCAGTTTCAGTGCAAACAACACCCAAACTCCTTACAATACTGACGTAAAAAATTTTAGCCAACCAGACACTCCAGACTCTACAGAGGAGGTGAGCTCAGAATCTACACAAAGTAGAAACTGGAATAGTCCTAAGCTTTACTCTCTGTCCAGGCAACTGTCACTGTCGAGTAATGCCAGCAGCAGGCGTGCCCCTACTGATCTTCAAATATAGTGGGAGTTAAGCCATCAATGCTGGAATAATTACTGAACAAGGAGACATAAGCAAGACCTGTGTGTAAGAGTAGCTAAATCATTCAACTTTAACCAGCTTTTTCACATAGATAGAAAAGTTGTGTAACCCTTTGAATAGTAGCTAAGTAACTTTTAAACAGTCCCTTTACTTCCTTTGTAATGAAAATGTAGCATAGACCTCAGTGTATAAACTTCTACACTCCTTCCAGCTAAAAAGGAAAACATACTCCCTCTAAGTCTACATGTTAGGAGAAGTCTGGCATAAAATCACAGCTGATAATACTGTTTAAACTGAATAAAAGTAGGAGAAAAAATTTAGAGTCTAACAATATCTTTTACAAAGACCAGTAAATGAAATTAGGCTAAAGATGGCACTGGCGCTCTCAGAAGAACTTTTTGGTAAACTTGTTTCCACTTACTCTGAGAATTCAGACTTTTGATAGCTGTCTGAAAGCAGAATGTCAAACATATCCCACTCTTCAAACTGTGTTAAATACAAAAAGAACAAAACATTTGATATACTGATCACTAATTCTTTGACTCCATGGTACACTTTCTTTTTCAGTATATCACCACTGACTTCCTCAGCAGAAAAATCAATTTCTTTTACTATTAGAGTTCAATACACTATTACATTTTTAAAGCATCATGAATTGCAAACAAGCTGTGAGCTTTAATTCTGACATTTTGCATAACACTAAAAAGATAGCAATTTTTTTTTTAAATCAGAAAACAAGTTACTGAAATTTATTAATCAGAAATTTTGAATTTCACAAACCAGAAGGCTTACTATGGAAAATAGAAAAAAAAAAAAAAAAGAGAGGGAAAAAAAAGTAAATACAGTAGTACATTCCTGCTTTCAGTTACAATGTCAAAAGACATATAAAAGGTTTATCAAATTGTAAAACTACTCCCTTTCTGTTGTCTATCCCTCAAATTCTGACAAACTTTTAAATCAAACAAAGCTTGTACTTGTTTAGAAGGAGCATTTTTGTTTATGCTTCTTATGGGGGTAGTAAGAGATTAAGGATATTCATTCACTTGCTGCTCCGGTCCATACAGTATAATGGAAGTTCCAAGAAATACCTTGAAATAATAAAGGAGGCAAAGACGAACAAAATACTATGTTACATTTGTAATAGAGCTTTCTATGTATGAAATACATTTACTTGAGTCGCACAGCACTGACAGGCTGTAAATACTTGGTGAGATGGTCACAGCTGAGATGCATTAGTGTATACATGTGGGTTTTTTACTAGTGGATGGGATTTACTGTACCTGTACTGGAAAAATATTTTATGAGATGTTTCATCATGATGTTACAGCATAATTAAATCCTTTAAGGTGCAAAGTTATTGTGCTTACCAGATAGCCATGCTTCAGAGTGGCTGAAAAGCTGTACAATACTAGAAAAAAAGGAACCTGAAAACCTAAAAAGCTCTTTTGGCCCTCTCCACATACGAAACACACATTAGTACTATTACAACTATTCACTCTAAATTTCTCTCCGCGGGTATCCTTTTCACCTCATATCGTTCTGTGTGCGTACATAAATACAGCCCTACATAATTCTGTTTACACTGTAAAATTTAACGTTGTGTAATATACTGAAATGCACATAAATGTATAGCCGGATTTAGGCCGGTTAATACTGATACTGTGGCTTTAACTCTTGCATTTCTTGATGCATAAGATTCTGCAGGTGATAACTGCTAATGCTTGTTTTGCATTTAATGTCTCTGTAATAAAAAGCTTAGTATTTAATGCACTCCGGTCCCACTGCCAAATAATAACAAGTTAGCATTTAGATGATTACATATGGGATATGACATTTGCATTTCTGTTGTTCAAGATGAGTTACAAAAGAATTTGTTTTTCTGCTGCTGAGAGCAGAATTTTATTAACTTTTTTTGTCTGGACAAGGGTCAAATATTTCATTTCATCACAGCACCTTGCCAACAGAAAAGTGTAACTTAATTCCAGTGAAAACTGAAGACAATGCAGAAGAGCACATAGTAGAAGTATGAAAAGACCCTAACATCACGGGTGCAAGATCATTTGGTTGTTTTTGTTTTTTTTTTTTAACTTCTATAATAAACAGATTTTACTTGTCAGTAGATACCAGAGACTTTCACAAAAATAAACAGGTATAACTACTTCTGTGTTTTTTTAAACAGGCTAAGGCAAATTACTTTCCTTATGATGCAAAGATTTCACCACATATCACTCTTTGGAGCCCCTCGAGTGGGCAGCTATGCAGTTGCTGCTTGCTGCAACTTCTCCCTCCTGTGATTGTCCCGCTCTGCTCTGCCCTGAGGAGGCTTCACCTTCAATATTGTGGCAGTTTTGGCCACTGCAATACAAGAAAGATATTAAGCCATTAGCGAGTGTCCAAAGGAGGGCAACAAAGATGGTTAAGGGCCTTGAGGGGAAGCCGTGTGAGGAGCAGCTGAGGGCACTTGGTCTATTCAACTTGGAGGAGACTGAGGGGAGACTTCATTGCAGTTACAACTTCCTTGTGTGAGGAAGAGGAGGGGCAGACACCGATCTCTGCTCTCTGGGGACCAGGGACAGGACCCCAGGGAATGGCCTGAAGTTGTGTCAGGGTACGGTTAGGTTGGATGTCAGGAAAAGGTTCTTTCCCCAGAGGGTGCCTGGGCACTGGCTCCCCAGGGCAGTGCTCATGGCACCAAGGCTGCCAGAGCTCAAGGAGTGTTTGCATGGTACTCTCAGGCACACGGTGTGACTCTTGGGGATGCTCCTGTGAAGAGCCAACAGTTGGAATCGATGATCCTTGTAGGTCCCTTCAAACTCAAAATACTCCGTGATCCCGTGATTTCAGCGCGCTGCAGTTACCCCTCGAGTCCCGGCAGGACAGCTCAGCGTTCCGGCCGAAAGCCGCTGCACGCCCCGCCGCTCGGAGAGACAGCGCTCTCAGAGCCCTCAGAGCCCGGCTAGGGGCGAGGCCCGAGGGCGGTGCCGCCGCCCCGTCGCTCCGGTAACGGCGGGGAAGCGCTGGCGCTGTTAAAGCGCAGGGCGCAGGCGCGCGGCGGGGTGGGTGCGGTGCGGGGTAGATGGCGCACTACAAGGTAGGAGGCAGTGCCGGTGCGGGTGCGGTGTTGCCCCGCTTCCCGCTCGGAGCGGCGGGACCGACACCGGCTCGGCCCTTCGTGCCGCTTCCGCGGCGGAAAGCGGGGCCGGCCCGGGCCAACGAGCCGCCTCGGCAGCCGAGGCAGGGCGCGCCGCCGATCTGACCGTGTGGGCGTCCTCTCTCAGGCCGCGGACTCCAAGCGGGAGCAGTTCCGCCAGTACTTGGAGAAGTCGGGGGTGCTGGATGTGCTCACCAAGGGTAAGTCTCCTGCCCGTGAGGGGCCAGCGGGCAGCTCTTGCGGCTCTGCCGGCCCGACCCGGCCCGGCCGTGTTGTGGCGGCCCGTCGGGCGGCCCGGCCGGCTCCCGCCTCGCCGTCCGCCTCTTGCTCTCAGTCGGCGAGGGGGCGGCAGCAGAACTTTCCTGGAAAAAATCTTGGTGCGGCGTGGCCTGGAAATGGAGTCCGGGCGGCGGCGGAGGGCCGCGGGCCTCTGGAAACGCGCCCTGGGAGTTACAAAGCGTTAATTCCTGTGGGGGTCGATTGTTAGAGGTGCGTGTGGGACACAAGGCTGTTCCCCTCTCCGCACGGGTGTGTCGGAGATCTCTCTTACTCTCGGCCAAAGTGCTTCTTTCGATACGTGCTTTTGGTTAATTTCTTGGGGGCTGTTATTCTGCCAGAGCTCTACAGAGAAAGTAAATGCTTGAGACAGTATAACAGCAAGCGTTATTTTAAACCCCACTTTAATTCTTTAAGACCCTTTCTTGAGTAGAGCTTAGTGCTTTTTCTAAAATGAATGAAAGTTATGTTTTGGAGAGTGACTATCTGTATCAAAATGGGGAAAATGATGATGCTAAACTTGACACATATGACTTGGCATCTTTGAAATCCTTTTGAAGTCTTTTTGAGAACCTTCCAATAGTATGTGGCAAAAATCTGTTTCCATTTCTGATTGAAAATATGCTGTTTAAAGAGGGAGCAGCAGATCTAGGATGTCGAGCGAATAAGTGCTGCATTAAGACTCTTGGCCTGGTGTGTGAGTACCATTTGATTTTTCTATTGCAATACCATCCAATGCAATGGCAAAATAATGCAATGGCAAAACAAGCCTTCCAAGCGCTGAGGCATCCTAATTTTGTTTTTAACTTGGGAGGTGCCTAGCTTAAAACCAGTTTGACTGTGTAGTTTGAATATCTGGAACTGGTACATTGCCCCTGTAGGGAGTGGGGAATGGTTATGTTTGGGAACTTTCTGAGTATTCGGGTGACTGAGTTCTCCATGTATATGGCTACTTTTATTTAAGCTGTCAGGGTATTGCTGCTCGTATCTGACTTCTGTGGCCCTTAGGGGCTCCATCCATAAAAATTATCAGTGTCACCTACTCTGACAGTAGCCATTTAGTTTTGTAACTGTAGATGTTTGATGGAGGTTTGCTTTTATGCTGAAAGTTACAGAACTGCTGATGTCCTGTGGTTCAAAGAAGTGGAAATAATGATACATGAAGAGAATCTCAAAATAGTTAGAATTTCAGTCTTGCTGATGAAAGCTAATACTAGTGTTGCATGTGGAATGTGTAAAAATTGTCCAGGCCATTTTGTCTTCTGTGCTAGACTAGCCAAAGACTGGGATTAGGGATCAAGAAAACTTATATTTAGCTGTTACTAGGTGGAATGCTCTGTCTACTCCTGTACAGCAGACCTGTTGTTTATGTCAAAGTTTACAGGTGAAAATCATGTTAAATGGAAAAATGTGCTATAAATGTGTTATGCTTTCTGACTGTTGGTATGTGTTTCAAAAACTTAAGAGTTGCGTGAACTTGCAATTGATGAATATTTTCTGTTTGCAGTGTTGGTAGCCTTATATGAAGAGCCAGAGAAACCAAATAGTGCACTGGAGTATCCTTTTTCTCTGCTGTGTCTCGTTTGTAGAGACCTTATGTGAAATAGCAGTACTGCTTCTGATTCATAGGTGAACTGGAGAGGCTCATTTAGAAGCCTTGCCTTGAGAACATGGTTTTTATCGATGCATTTTGGCTAATAATTGCCTTCTTACAAGCTGAGGGAGAGTCTGACAGGATGCAAGAGAACTGGGCTATCAGTATGCCAACAATTAAAAAGCTAAGTTATAGGCCATTACAGAGTTGTAGACCTACAGTTGTAGACCTGCAGCATTTGAGTACCTGCCATGTCTGTGGCTTCTGAAGTTTGCTTCTTCACATTTCCTTTTTTTGTTTGATTTGGGTTTTTTTTAATAAGAAGAACTTGTACTGATGTCTTGGTTTTGGTTGTGTTTGTTTTTTTAAAGGAATATAGCTATGAGTTTAAAAACCTCTCTTATTTTTTTAACTTCCTTCTATAGGATGAAAAGCACTGTAGTAATCTCAGTGGTGTACTGTGATTTTGGTCATGTGTACTGCAGTGCTAACTTCAACGTAAGTGTTAAAACTAAAATGTGGTTATACTGTATAACTGAAGAAATACTTAACATCTAAATATCAGCTTTCTGAAGCATCATCTGGGAGCTTCAGCTCCTGAGAATCCAGAATTAGAGGCACTTCGCTTGGAACTGGCAGAGATGAAAGAAAAATATGAAGCTGTGCTGGAAGAAAATAAAACCCTGAAAAGCAAGGTAAAAGTCTA